ATTGGGGGCCTGCCTTACAGTAGAACTTCTTAATTTTCTAGCCGGTAGTACCAACATGGCGGCGCACGAATTTCTGCGGTGGGATTGACACTAGCTCCACTTTCAATGAAGTGATGTGTGTGGTAATAGATTTTTGTAAAATGCAGAACTTTGGTACAACAGTTTTTAGTGTAACGTAAAACTTCATGGCGGCTGTATGAAACAACAAAAAGTTACTTCTTTAGGATTCGATCGCATGACCACGAGCTTAGGAGTCCAGTGTGATACCACATCGCTAACTTATTGATTTGCGTTACTTCAGGAAGACCGATATGGAGAGCTAAAAGCTGAAGTTCTCAAGTAAGACAGTTCGCGACGTCTTTTAAGTGTAAAATCAAAGCCCGCTGATTCTATTCTGTTTTTGCAACAGTCAGTTTCAGATGAACAATTGAATCAGTCGAGACAGAGGGGAAAAAGTATTTAAAACGCGTTTCTTACATTTTGGCGAGAAATGTACACTACATTACAATCAGCTCATTTCTTTCGTTAATAAGAGGATAAGCTGGTTCGATCCTTTTATCATGAAGTCGTAACTCTTACGTTCCTTCATCGCCTGCGAACTAGAGGCATTCAGAATCCGCAAAGAACGCATGTGGAAACTGTGTATTCCGGCACGATTACACTTTTCCAGTCTTGTCATCCAATCTCGTTTGACCCTGTATAACCTCTGCAGATTAAGCAGGATCGTTAAGTAAGAAAAATAACCCGGGCAATTCCGGTATGTTTTGTGCTGTTAAATACATTATGCCTTGGGGTGCGCCGGTGTGGCCGTGTTGCCAACGCAACGGATTGTCTAGGACGCGCCGAACTGATTCAAGGAAGACGCGCGGTTTTGCAACCCTGTTTAAATGGCGGTTTTGTATGGAGTTCCCTTGCTTTCCACCGGTTTTTTTCCTTTTGACAGGGAGAGGGGGGGACTGACGTTAGGAATCTACCTGAGTTTTCTCTCACAATGGCAGTCCGACCAGTCTTGTAGGGGTGTCCAAGACTTGCCCGCTCCCATTCTCACGAGAATTTGTGGAATCTGTTAATTAGCGATGTTTCTATTACGCATGCGCCGTTCTCATGACCCGGCTACTCTTCACGTTCATTAATATAAATAACGTGTATTCGCCATCGGCTTCTCAGCAACTATAAGTGGAGTATATATCCAGGCTACTCATGATCTAGGAGAAAACTGTGTAACAAGGAAGTTCGTACTTTTGTACTTAGCACGCTTCTAAATTGCGTAGATTGATTGAAATGCCGAAAATGATGTCGGAGGATGACATTAAGATGGTTCTGGAAGTTTTGACTGGTCCTACGGCGGTCTTTCGTGCCTAAGGGGGCATTTTAGCTTGCTTGCTTGTTGGTTAGTTAGCCAGGTAGTCACGGGGGAGGGTCACAGCACGCATTGTACATTCGTGGTGCGTGACG